TGGATACACTGATTGCCAAATGTTATTCCAGCGCTCGGCCCTCGTCTGGCAGAGCGTCGCCCGCGGGACTTCCGCGTGTGCAGCCTGCGCGTGGCCTCCGCATGTTCCGCATGTGAATCGAGTCTTAAGTCGGGCCTGTCCCTCCACAGGAGGAATGTTCAAAAATAGTAAAAAAATAGTTGTGGGACGATTTCCTGCGTACTGTTTTACCTTTTTGAGTATTGTTTGATTAGTTTCCATGTTTCGCCCAAAATCACCCTGCAGGGGGACACGCCCGACCTAAATCTGGTCATGCGTGTGGTGCAGCTTCCTGGTACTCTGCAAAGGTAGGCTCTCGCGTCTCTTCCTAAAGTTTGCGCGGAAGCTTGACCTGCCCACGCCCTGCACAGGTGCAGTGTGAGTTGCGAGACGGCGGGTGGGATCCCAGATTGCAGAAGTTATCCCACGTCCCAATATATCTGCCGATGCCGTCTAACGGACAGGAATTGGCAGGAGACAAACATGTTCCCCAATGCGTCATTCGCGCCCCGCGTTCCGCTGTCATTTCTCAATGGCCTGATCGATTGAGAGTTGGCGGTGTAGGCTTCTAAGAAGTCGGAGGGCCTCTGATAAGCGAGGGGAGTTGGGTGGGCGTCGAGGGGGTTGGGCTTCTAAGAAGGCGGGGGGGGGTCTTAGAAGACAGGGGCCTGCTTAGAAGGGCCTGGCCGCTTCTTGGGAGGCTTCACTCTTGAAGGTCCCCCCCCCGGCCTTTTTAGAAGGCCGCCCCCCTCGGGGGGCGCCGCCAGTGGAAGGCGCCATCGCATGTGTTATCGTGGCGCCAGCCCGCAAGGGCGCTCCTCGGTGCACTGCGCTAGGGAGATAGGGGAAGTCCCGACCGTTCTGGGTGTCGGGCCCTCTCTGGCTGTAGCGGCCAGCCCGCAGGGGCCTCCTCTGGCGCACCGCGTCGAGGGAGGAGGGGAAGCCCTGGGCACTGAGGCGCCAGATGCCTGGATGCTCAGGGAGGTCTGGGCGCACGTGACGGTGGTCGTCGCCCACGGGGTTCGGCTGGCCAATCCCCTCCGATCCCCTCTGGCTGACCCGGCCTTGGCAGCCGCGCAGAGCCACCTCCACCCCCCAGACCTCGACCTGCGCTCACCCGGGGCTTGGGAGAGCGCTCCTGCGGCCCGGCTGGGATGCGCGACATAGCACCTCAGCTCCTCCTCTTCGTCTTCCTCCTCCTCCTCCTCCTCCTCCTCCTCCTCCTCCTCCTCCTCCTCCTCCTCCTCTTCCTCCTCCTCCTGACCCAGGCCAGCGCGCCCCGAGGATCGGGGAGCAACGACTGGCACGAACATGCATTTTCGGAGGTCCGCGCGGATTTCTCGGATCGGAGCTGGAGCCCCCTGGCGGCGCCTCCAGCACCGCCCCCAGCGCGCTCCGCGCCCCGGGGGAGGCGAGTCCAGCGCCGATCCCACAGATCCGCGCGGACCGTCGGAAGGTCATGGTCCTGTCATGTGTTGTCCCTCTGGAGGACGCAGGCGTCTCGCTGCCAGCAGGGATTCGTTCACGACATGCAGTAAAAGCTCACAGTGAGGATAAGCGATTTTCCCAGTTTCCCCTTGCATCCTTCCCCTTCGGCCCACTCCTGGCCCATTTCGCTGTCCGTGCCCCGCTTGAAGGGTGTCGGCATGGCCTTCCAGCGCGCTTGCGTCCTCACCGCGTACAGTGGGGGCCCATGCCAAGAAACACCCTTCTTGCCTCCAGGGTGCCCCGGGTTTCTCGGGTTTCGATGGTTTTGCCATGGAAAACGTGACGTTCCCACACCAAAAATCACTGGACGTCCTGGGATCTCAGGGTTGGGTTTCTTGTGGAAGGTTTCTTGTGGACTGGCCTCCACTGTAATCCTTCTTATGCGTATTTTGACTGTACCATCGGCTTAACCCCCGGGTCGGCGCGCGTCCCCCCCGAGGAGGCAAGTGCCCCGTTGTTGGCCCGGCCTGCGAGCCATGAGCAACATCTCGGCCGCGATCGCCGACGACTACAACAAGTACAAGTTTGGCGGAGGCCGCGCCGGCAAGTACAATCCGCAGGTGCTGACAGGCCTGGCGCTGCTCCTCCGGAGACGTCACGGGGAGGAGGCGGCAGTTGCAGCGTAGAAGGGCTCCAGAGCGTCAGCGTCGTCGTCGACGTCGCCGCCGCCGTCGTCGGCGTCGTCCTCGCTGCCCCCCTTCAGGGTCGGCGGTGCCGAACGTAAGGCCTTCGCAATACAATTCGCAGGTTCTGACAGGTCTGGCGCCGCTCATACGGCGACGTCACGGGGGAGAAGACGGCAGTTGCAGCGTATCTCAGAGCAGGAAAAGGTACCAATATTGTTATCCTTGCCTCGTTTTCGCCTTCTTGGGCCTCCTGGGGGCCTTCGTCGCCAAAGCTAAGTTCGCATCGTGACTCTGGTCAGCATGCACCCTGGAAGAGCCCTGGGGAGAAGCGGTACCATTATCTTTTGGTTTCGCTAGAATCGCAGGGCTCGTTTCGTTCCTTCGATTCGATTCGATTCGGTTTCGATGGTTTCCGATTCCAATTCGATTCGACTTTGGATTCTGATTTGGGCTCCGATTTCTCAATGGAGGCCTACTAGCCTGCCGATTTCCGCCGATTCGACTGTTCCCGACTCGGCTGCCGATTTCCGCCGATCCGATTCATTTCGATCGCCGATCCGACTTGTCGATTCGATTCTGGGCTCTCCTGGAATCGGGTGTTGCCACTGGTGTCCCGGGCCCCAGGTGTCCCCAGGAATTCCCGGGAGCCCCCCACGGCCTCCAGAGCACCCCAGTCACGAGGCCCAGGTGGCCCCATGAGCTCCACAATTGGAGCGAGAAGCGAGGGATACCCGGGCTGGGCCAGGAGCACCTTTTTGGCAACCCCCCCAGGCGCAGAAGGAAAAGACAGACAGACAGACAGACAGACAGACAGACAGACAGACAGACAGGCAGACAGACAGACAGACACACACACACACAGACATACAAACAGACAGACAAACAGACAGACAGACAGACAGACAGGCAGACAGACAGGCAGACAGACAGACAGACAGAGACAGAGACAGAGAGAGAAAGACAGAGAGATCAGCAAAACACATGTGGGTATCACATAGGACGTGAAGGACCTTGCTCCGTCGATCTGGGTTCGATCGGACCGCCGATCCGACAATCCGTCGGTCGATCAGGATCGAGGCGGTCGGTCGAGCTCTGTGCCAGCGGAATGATCTCTCCTCTTCGGGATGAGCCCGGGGGCCCGATCAGGATCTGAGTTTTTGTTTCGCGGATGTACGCTGACGAAGAGAAGGAAGATTGGGAGCTTGTATGAAGGCTGAGATCTTTACGCCCTGCGTGTGCCCACCATCCCGTCCTGGAGCCAGTGCTGTCTTCTGGGGGAATGCCTCTCGGGAGCCTCTTTGGGTACTGTTCCGCCCCCTTTCGCCTGGTCTGGCTTGTTCTGGCCTGGTATGACCTTGTCCAGTCTGGACCTGTGTGGTCTGGTATGTGGTGTGGTTTGGTCGGGTCCTGTGTGATCTGGTCGGGTCGGGTTTGGCTTGGTATGGCCGGGTGTGGTCTGGTCTGATATGATCAGGTGCGGTTAGACTTGGTCTGGCAATACTGGTTTGACAACATGAAGGAGGACATGATTGCGAGGAAGTCAGAAACAGGAAGACCAGCAAGGGTGGAAGGGAGAGGGGAGAAGGATGCAGGATGAGGAAGAGGACGACGACGACGACGACGAATAGGAAGGAAGGGAGGAAGATGAGAAGAATGAGGATGAGGAGGAGGACAAGGAGGATCAGGATGATCAAGGCAAAGACGAGGAAACGAGAGAAGGTTTACTGTTGGATATGACCGCTGTGCTGCGTGCCGAAGGCACCGCGGTATTGTCCCACCACGAGGGGTCGTGGAAGCCACTTTGGACGTCCAGGGCCTTCCTCGGGGCCCCGCACACACGGCCAGCGGGCGAGATGACCGAGGAACTAAGAACAAAAACCGCCTCAGCAATAGGGACTGCTGAAGCACGCCCAGCAAGCCTACTGCCGCGGTGGCGGACGACAGACGTCGACAGACGGCGACGACCAAGACTGGCAATGGGAGTGCAGAGGAATCTTCTCCGCTCACTTCACGTGTGCAATTGGCCTCGATTGACGGGTAAGGTTGGTGGTTTCGGTTTTTGTTTGAAACCCCTACAATATATTGCATCTCTCCGCTGCGCTTCCGGTCCCATCGTCGACGATGCTCATTCGATGCTGCACCGTAGGCAATTGGGCCCTGAGAGCCCCTAGGGGGCGAATCGCGTAGCCTTTTTTCTTCGCTTGAGATTCGACCCAGAGCAAGCACCAGAAGGACGAGCCCCCCTAGCCACGACTCCTACGGGGACGCCTGGCTTGTAAAGGCCAGGTTCCCGTGGGGGGATGCATGACCTCGGACCCACTTTCGGAAAGGGGCCCTTATGGTTCGAGGGAAGGCTATTAGTCGGTCTCCTAACTTCTACTTATTCTTCTTCTTCAATCATGTTGGTTTTTTGTTCTATCTGTTTCCTGTTCGTGTGTGTGTGGATGGTGGTGGTGGTGGTGTGGGTGTGGGTGTGTTTGTGTGTTGTGTTTGCGTTTGAGTTTGTGTTTGTGGTTGCGTTTGTGTTTGTGGTTGTGTTGGTATTTGTGTCTGTGCTTGTGCTTGTGTTTGTGTTTGTGGTTGTGTTTGTGTGTTCGTGCTTGTGTGTGTGTTTGTGTGTTTGTGTGTTTGTGTTTGTGTTGTCGTCTGTGTATGTGCTTGTGTTTGTAGTTGTGGTTGTGTTTGTGGATGTGGATGTGCTTGTGGTTGTGTGTGCTTGTGCTTGTGCTTGTGTTAGTGTTTGCGTTTGTGTCTGCGTGCCTGCGTGCGTGCGGGTGCGTGCGTGCGTGCGTGTGTGTGTGTGTGCGTCTGTGTGTCTGAGTGTGTGTGTGTGTCTGTGTGTCTGAGCGTGTGCCTGTGTGTCTGTGTGTGTCTATGTGTCTGTGTGTCTGTGTGTGTTCTGTGTGTATGTTCTGTGTGTGCGTCTGTGTGTCTGTGTGTCTGTGTGTTGTGTGAGTGTGGTTATGTGTGTGAGTGTTCGTGTGTGCGTTTGTGTGTGTGTTTGTGTTTGTGTGTGCGCGTTTGTGTGTGTGGTTATGAATAAGAGTGTGCTTGTGTTTGGGTTTGTCTTTGTGGCTGTGTCTGTGTCTGCGCTTGTGTTTGCGTTTGTGTTTGTGTGGGTTTGTGTGTTTGTGTTTGTGTTTGTGTTTGTGTATGTGTTTGTGTGTTCGGTTGTGTGTGTGTGGTGTGTGTGTGTCTGTCTGTCTGTCTATGTGTGTGTGGGTGCGTGCGTGCGCGTGCGCGTGCGCGAGCGCGCGCGCTTGTGCTTGCGCGTGCGCGTGCACGTGCACGTGAACGTGTGCGTGCGCGTGCGCGTGCGCGCGCGTGTGTGTGTGTGTGTGCATGTGTGCATGTGTGCTTGTGTGCGTGTGTGCGTATGTGCGCGTGTGCGTGTGTGTGCATAATGGTGGTGGTGGTGGTGGAGGTGGTGGTGGTGGTGGTGGTGGTGGTGGTGGTGGTGGTGGTGGTGGTGGTGGTGGTGGTGGTGGTGGTGGTGGTGGTGGTGGTGGTGGTGGTGGTGTGTGTGGGTGCGTCTGTGTGGGGCGTGGGGCCGGGTGGGGGGGGGTGGGCTCTTCTCCCCCCCAAAAGAAAAAACGGGCAGCGACTTTATTTGTTTTGGGTGGTGGGGAGGAAAATGAGGAGGACCTGGGGAGGAGAATGACGAAGACGAGGGGGTAGGGTGGGGGCGGGCGTCCTCTTTTCATCGCCGCTATCAAGAGCGGGGCGCAAGTGCATCGCCACAGAGCCGCACTGGCCCATCTGACATTGGTGGGCATTACTCAGACAACAAGCGCGCCCACGCGCAAGCAGCTACGCAAGAACTGACGCTGCGAATTCCCCCCACGGGGTGGACGCGTCTGCTATGAACTTGGCTGCGACGGCCTTGCGCTTCGTGCGTTATTTGAGCTTGTCCTTCGTGTCAGGGTCGTGGCTCGTCATCGGATCCGTCAAGTTCGGCTCAGGTGTCGTTGAGGACTTGTCGAAACTTCTCTCGGCGCTAGTGCCGCTATAGTTTGGCCTTGACCTCGTTGCCATTCGTGAACCGACGCCAGGAATCCCGCGGCGCCGCGGGTTCCCCCAGCGAAGCACTGGATTGCGCCATTGTGGGAGGCGATGCGAGGGCGAGTAGCGCGTCTGTGAGGGCTCCCACGAGCTCGAGCCGACACAAATACGGAGATCGTTTGGTCTCGCGCTTCACATTTATAGCCAGAAGTTACGATGCATTAGTCCTCTAGCGTCCTGCACGCGGGAACAGGTCCAGCTTTTCTTTTGCATCACATAACCGCTCGAACCCACACACACACACACACACACCTCGTCTAAGCTCGCGCGAGCTGAAAAGTCGGTCTATCTTGGCACAAGCAGCCCCTGTCGTGCCGCAATCTAGGAGCAGCATATACGATGGGCAACCTAAAGACCCCCGCCGCTGCGCATTCAAACTGTCATAACGACAGCCACGGCCCCCAGGCATGTCTTGGCGCCCCATCACTTCGAACTGAGCCGATCTACAGTACACTGCGACTTGTACCTGGCCCCCCCTGGCCATCCAGACAAAGCACAGCCCATTCAAACGAGCGTTTCAAAAAACATTGCTCCCGTGGCGACGCCGCGTATCGGACTGACCAGCAGTCCTGCCCCCCACCGCCCAGCTCTGTAAACGGCACGCTTATCATGTATACAGATATGCCGTATTGGCGCACATGCACTCCCTCACTGAAATCTACAACGTCGGGCGATGATGGGCCCGATTAGCACCCGTAGTGGCCGACCCTCGTGCCGTTGGACACGACGGCAGCCACCGGTGGAAGGTAGTCCGCTCGGCGCTCGGCAATGTACTCGTTGTGGAGGTTGCAGAAGTACTGGACCATGGGCTTGTGCCGCAGGGGCGGCATCTCATTCAGAATGCGCGAGTAACTCTTGAACCAGCTGAACGTCTGCTCTGCCGCATGCGTGTTCACGCCCTTCATCCTGAGCTCCAGCCTGCGGATGTGGCACGGATTGCACGGGTAGGCGTCGGAGTGCCTCTTGGCCTTCCATACAGTCCACGGCCCAGTACTTGATGGGCTTGAACACGACGATCTTCTGGGCAGATTCGAAGAAAGAGCAGCAGCGATCATGCGCGTAGGTGTCGACCTGGGGGTGGTGGAGAATAGCCCTTTCGAGCGCCGCGGCAGCGACGCCGTTGCCCTCGGGCGCTGTCTGCTCAATCACGGTGACGACGCGCCCCTGCGGTGTGATGACCACTAAGCACCCGTAGTTGCGGGGTTGGCCGCGGGAAGGCTTGCGCTTGTGCCCCAGCGTCGAGGCGGCATTGCCTGTCTGGGTCGCAGCGCTTTTCTTCTTGGTGATTGGCTCTTTCAGGAAGAAAGTCCGCACCTCCTTCATCGGCTCCTCCATGGCGGGCGGCTTCTTGACTGCGGCCCTCTTCATTGAACTCATCTTCGCGGCAGCGGCCTTATTCGCGACGGCGATCGCCCCCCCCCTCCCCCTGCAGCGGGCCTCGGGCACTTCATGGCAACATGTTCGTGCCCGCTCCCAATGCGCAGCGCCGCCTTGTTGGGCCTGGGATCGGGGAAAACGCTGTCGTGCAGGTGCGCATCGAACTTCTTGAACGCGGCGGCACTGACCTCCTCACCGATGTGACCTGCCAAGTCTCCCCGACCTCCTCCATCTCTTGTGCTGCGAGCAGATATAAGATGCCTTCCAGGTGCAACTCCCTCTGATTTTGCAAGAACTCCCCACCGTAGAAATGATTGGATTTGTCGGCGAACATCTCCTTCATCACCCAGTCGGTGCCCGGTGCCGAGGTGAACATCTTCAACATGGTTTTCCGACGGCACTTCAGGCATTGCAGGGTGAAGGCGCGCTTGCTGCTTACAAAGACGATGCCGGCCCTCTTCTTGCCCTTGGCCCACGCGAAGTTGGGGCCGCAGGTAAGCATGCAGTTCCTGCCCGGGCACCGCCTCTGCCTGAGGGAAATCTCCTTGGCGCAGTGCTGGTAGTGGAGGGTGCAGGTCGCGTCTGGGCGGGAGGCTATGCCCGTGCGGGCGACGAGCTTGCAATTGCAGTACGTGCAGTTCCACCAGTTGGTTTCAAAGTGGCCATCTGTATCGATGTATTGTTGGACGCCAGGCCATGGCTCGAAGAGGTCGTCTGCGCCCGCAGCTGGAATGGCGTAGTTCGCGTCGTCGCCGTCAGTCGGCAAACCCGCATCCACCTGAGCCGCCTTGACCGAGAACCAGTTCAAATGCTTGCCCTATGCGAACGCCTCAAGGTCTGCTGGCAATGGGCTTGAATTACGAAGACCATGCCCGGGGGGGGACATTCGTTGCTGTCCACTGGATGTTCTCCACCATATCTGCTGATCGCAGAGGCATCGCCCACAAAGCCTTCATCTGCGTAACGATATTGGAGAAGAGGGTGAAGATATTGAGGAGGAGGAGGAAGAAGATGAGGAAAGTATGAAGCCTGAAAGCTGGCAAGCCTCGCGTGGCAGACCGCATATCGGGTGACGAACACGCCGCCAGGGGGATCCAGCGCCGATCCGAGAAATCCGCGCGGACCTCCGAGTTGTTATGCTTATGTCATTGTCCGTTCCCTTATGAAAACGTGCAAGCCTCGCGTGGCAGACCGCATATCCCACAGTGGCTTGGCCTCTATATTTCGGGAGGGGGGGCGCCCCCAAGGGCGGGTCCGTTTCGACCCCCCGTGCTTGCCGAGCCCTCCTGCTGTCGTCATGGGAGCCGGGAGGCCCAGACACGCCCCACCAGAGGAGGAGGAGGAGGAGGAGGAGGAGGAGGAGGAGGAGGAGGGAGGACCAGTCAACGATGTTGGAGTAAACCCTCCCTCCAAGCTCCCTCCCTTTCCATAGGCCCCTACAACGTTTCATTTCCATTGAGGGAACAGCCTCGTTGGAAGACAGCCGTTTGAAGATCCTGGAAGCATGCCAAAACATTGTTCTCGGGATTTTAACACCACGTATCAACCTGACTGCTGCGTCTTGACGATCTGGAATCGTGCCAGACACAATTTTGGGGACTTGAACACAGCGAATCAACATAACTGTTGCACCCGCATAATCCTGAATCTCTCGAAAACATAATTTCTGGTACCTTGATCATGGGACTCCGTGAAAATGTTGCTATGCGTTTAGACAACATTTGCGCGGCGCTAAGGCGAGGGCCACATTTTGGAAAGGAACCGCCCTCTATCAGTGAAACGTTTGCAAACTTTTAAACCGAATGCGGGCGGCGCAAAAGCAAGAGCCACATGTTGAAAAGGAACCGCCCTCAATCCGCGAAACTCTTGCAAATGCTTTAAACGAATGTGCGCGGCGCTGAGGGGAGAGCCACATTTTGAAAGCGGCCCGCCCTCAACCCGTTGAACACTTGCAATTGTTTAAACCGAATGTGCGCCGCACTAGGGCGAGAGCCACATTTTGAAAACGACCCGCCGACAATCCGTGAAACTCGGGCAATATTTTAGAAAACATGTGCGCCGCGCTAAGGCGAGAGCCACATTTTGAAAACGACCCGCCCTCAATCCGTGAAACCCCTGCAAATGTTTTAAACGAATGTGCGCGGCGCTAAGGCGAGAGCCACATTTTGAAAAGGAGCCGCCCTCAACCCGGGAAATTCTTGCAAATGTTTAAAGCGAATGTGCGCCGCGCTAGGGCGAGAACCACATGTTGAAAACAACCCGCCCTCCGTCTGTACAACTGCTGACACTTTTCTCAAGCTTCAGAGTCATAAGTTGTGAGGAAGTCTCGGGCGAAACGCCCGGCTCGCCCTAAAAACTGGCCTCGGGGTGCGACAGGGAGAAGCTATCCATAAGGCGAAGGCATGGAGGAGGAGGACGAGGAGGAACACGCCGCGGGCCAGCACTGTCAGCAGTGGAATGCACTCCGCCATCTGTCAGGCCTTCCCGGGTCCAGCCGGCGGCCCCGCGCTAGCCCTACCGTTACATAGTTCGTCCCGCGCTGCGCAGCATCTGGCGATTTCCTGTTTTTTTGTCGCGCTGTCTCACTCTCTGTCGTCTTGATCTTCGTAGCGCTACCTCACTCCCTAGGCGTCGCCCGCGCTCTTTCTGTTCCCACGCTCTGCTCACACCTCGCTCTCTTCTCAGAGTTCCTACATGCCCGCCAGCACGGCCTGTGCCAGCCCTGCTCACGCCGCAACTCCGCCTGCTCCATGTAATGTTTCTGCTGCTGGGAGGGACTGACCGTGGTGGAGGCGGGGTTTGGGGATCACTGCGCCGGGGAGAGGGGGATCCGCGGCTTGGCCACCCGTGCGGCGGAGCCCACGGGGACCCCAACAAGAGCACCCGGCAGGCCAGGCTAGGCCGCCGCCGTCGTGGTATTGTGCACGTGTAGCTCGCTGCCCCCCTCGCTCGGTCTTGGGTCATTACCGAGTCACCGTTTCGTATCGGATCGGTTCCCCTCCTACCTCACTGCCTGGCTGGCGCATGCTCGGGGCTCGACCACAAGAAGCCTTCCACAAGGAACCCAACCCTAAGACCCCTGGGCGTCCATTGGTTTTTGGTGTGGGAGCGTCGCGCTCTCCATCGCAAGACCATCGAAACCCAAGAAACCCGGGGCACCCTGGAGGCAAGAAGGGTGTTTCTTGGCACGGGTCTCCACAATACGCCCTGAGGGCCTACAATATCTGCCTCACTTTTCGCGCCTTTTTTTTTCTGCTGCGCCTGCCAGGCCTACTCGTGTTGTTGCTGGCCTACGTCGGCCTTCGCCTTTTGTTCCACAAGCGCTCCAGGCCCTGACCTTTAGTTGGCGCAACGTCAAAAAATGAGAAGGAACAGCAGCAGCAGAAGGACCATGAGCAGGAGCAGAAGGCCATCAAGAAATTCGCGTTGCGCCATTGTTGGTGACCGTTGGGCAGCTTTTCACGCGTCCTGGGTGCCTGTCAAGAGGAAGGTCAGCATTGTGCGGACAAGCTGTGCGTTCTTGTCAACCTTCCTTGTGGCCTGCTTGCGCGGAGGACTTGCTTCTACTCGCATCTGGGGGGGGACGGCGGGGACGCGCTTTCGATCGCCCGAGTGAGGCAAGCAGCAGGTCGACAGCATAGACTTGGCCCCCAAGCAGCGGCTGGAGCTCCAGGCCCCTCGAGACGGGGGCATCAGCAGGAGGCGAAGCGAAGCGGATGTGGCGAGGAATAGGGGGAAGGGCAATGGGATGGGAAGGGGAATGGGATGGGGAGGGGGTACAAGGAGAGGGCGCCGAGAAGAGGGCAGAGGCGGACGACGAGTTGGCGAGACAGGGAGCAGCCACGTGAGGAGGTTCAGGCTCGGGTCCCCTTGACGGTGCGAAGTCAGGATGCGCCAAGGGAGAGGAGGACGGACGGCTGTAAGGAGTCGAGAGAGGGGAGTGGATTCCGGCTCGGCGCCCCTCTCGTGCTACGGGGGAATGTTCCAGGGTATCCCCCTCACGCCAATCGGGTTGGACGTATGGGGGAGGGTGTTTGGGACGTCTTGGCTCGCACAGCGTGCAGAGGAGAAGGGGAAAGCGGAGAGGCAACCAAATGCCAAGTCCTGGTGCATCCGGCCCAAGGCGGAAAGCACCCCCGACCCTCCGCCCCCTCCAAGTGGAGGGCGGAGATGGAGAGCCGCACTCGGTCAAGAGAGGGTGCTAAGCCCCCGACTGTCAGCTCCTCCTCTTGCCGATACTCTAAAACCGTGTGGCCAGTCTGCGAGGGCCCCGCGTGGCCGGGGAGCGTGGATTGGGCGATGCGAGAAAGCAAAGGCTCTCCTTGCCGTTTCGTGGTCCCCGAGAGTCAGGGCTTGGCCAACTGCCAGGGGTCAAAACTGAGGCAGTCTTGCCGCAGCGAAGACCAGAATGCAAATCGTGCCGCTCCCAGCAGCAGAGGCTGTGGGTGGGGTCGAGAGCCCCCGCCCGCACGGGCACGGGAGCTGAGGCCGAACGGACCACGCCTTGGGGCCACACAGCCCTGGGGTCGCCACGTGCAGTCGTCAGCTGGCCCTCCGTGGACAGCAAGCCACGGCGCACACAGTGCCACGTCTCTCCGTCTCGGCGAGTGCTGCGGGACCTCTCGGCGACCGCGCTCTCACGAGCAGGAGCCCCGCGAGACCTCTCCCCCAGGCCTCCCCTCATCACTTTGTGTCGGGGGGGGGGGTCCGCAACGGGCGCCTCCGCCAGGGCTCTGCGAGCCCGCTTCCGCACAAGCAAACAGGTCGTGCCCCACAGGTGGTCGTTTTCTTATTCGTTGTTTTGCCAATCGGCGTGGGCCCTCGCACACACACACACACACACACACCTCCCCCCATTTCCCATGGAGTAGATCTTGGCTGTTTTTGGCGCCTGTTTCGAGCAGGTGGAGCCCCTCCCCCATAGGACACACTGTTGCGAGCAGTCACATTGAGCAGAGGTCCCGAGCCAGACCCCCCCCCTCTCCCCTCACCTTCTGCACAATGTCGAAACGCCGAATACGAAAACGCTCACCAGACCAATTTGCGGGCTGGTCTGAGAAGAAATCGCCCGGTTCCAGTCAGCCGCTTCCGCTGCAGCAGCGTCCGCAAAGGCGTTCCCTTCCACCAGAGAACGAGCTCGGGATCCAGGGCCGACGCCCAGGCATCGGAGAGTGAGAGGCCGTCCACTCGAGATTGATGGACTCACAAACACGGCCGACCAGAGCAGTGCAAATGATAACGACCGCGGATGGACCAAGCCTTGGGAACAGAGAGCGATGGTCCGTGATAAGGTGGAACCTACCAGGGTAGTTTTCGATGGCCAGGCAAAACGCGACCGGCTCCGAGCGAAGGGCAACCTGAACACGGCCATCAAGGATCTTGGAGAAACCCGCACTGAGCCTCCCCGAGCTCCCAAGAGCTTGAGGTCCCGAGAGAGAGAAAGAGAGAGGGAGAGACAGTGATGGAGGCGGCTCCGCACTGTATCATCTTGGGATCGGAAGAAATATTCCTCTCCAGCCGTCTTCGAAAATACAAACTCGCTCCTCATACAACGGGCTAGACACCTGCTGGCTCGGGAGAGGCTGGTCTACCACCTGAATTGCCCTTCGTCCCCCATCGTTCGAGAAAGTGATGGATGTGGTCGAAGCCACACAGATAGGTTAGCTTCCGAACCCGCCAAATCTCGGGAGGCAGATGATCCGAAGACGAATGAGGTTCGTGGTTGTCGGTTTTACAGCAAGTCCGCACTCGATGGGTCAGGGTCTCCGCTTCCAGGCCGCACCTTGGGCAAAGTCGCCCGTCGTGTCCCCCAGATCGGAAACACACGATCACGAGGCCACCGCGCCCGTGACATCACCGTGCAGGTGAGACCATACAGACCAGGGTCAGCTCGCATATCACCGTGAAGGTGAGACCACAAATCACCGTGAAGTTGTGTCCAGCTCGCGTCTGACCAGCAACCAGTGACCTCCTTTGTCTGACCAGCAACCAGTCTCCTCCTTTGAGAATGTCAGCGTCTGCCTCGCTCGATGCGGCCCAGTGCAGGGCCAGAAACTCATGCAACAGGTCTTGGATGAGGCCAGGGAGCTCGAGCTCTTTGGCAGAGAAGCCCTCCCGAGTGAAGCTTGGGATCGGCCAGCCCTCCTGCGGTTCGTCGTTGACGGTGCGCCCCCGCACGGTGGCAGAGAGAGGGGGGGCCAGCTGGCATCCAAAAAGGTGGCAACGATGGCTCCAACAGGGCCTCTGGCCTTCCGCCACCCTCGGTCGCCAGCCTCAGAGAGAGCTGTCAAGATCGTGGGCCAGGCCCTAATGATCCCAGAGGGGCAATTTGGGCTCCCAATCGTGAAACAGTTGCCGACGCATCTCCACGCCTGGCTCTCTCAGACCGTGGATCGCCTCGAACGCGGTGGTGGGACACCTGCCTCTGAATGGCCCCGTTGAGCATGCCAAGGTTTGTTGCATTATATTATTGATTGAGTGTGGGGCCAGTCCCTTCCCTGATGGCCGTCAGAGCCTGTGGCACCGCTCCAGTGTTCCAGAGGCCTTGGGCGACCTTCCTGAGCGTCGCGTGCCGACGCATCCTGACAGCCCAGCGGGATCTGCGATAAGCAGCTAGTATGCGAGAACGGATCTTGCGCTAAGTCCTCTGTGTCCCAGAGCTAACGTCAGCTCCAAGATCAACTGCTTCGCTAGCGCACCGTACAGGCATGCCTCCCGATCGAAGCTTGCGAGCGATCTGTCTTCCCAGCTGCGGGATGGACGCCATGGCCTGCGTCTTCAGGGGGGAGGGTCGAAGGGGGTGAGGGAGGGAAGGGAGGGCTGCGTAACCTGCGGCGTGCAGCTGGCTTCGGCTCCGCCGCCGGGCACGTGCCCCGACACGTGGCCGCCTCCAACGCGCCCCGGCGCCAGAAGGACGCGGCGAGAATTCATAGTGAGGGCGCGCTGCTTCATCAAGGCTACCCGTGCAGCCCTGCTTCGTCGGCCCAGCCTGAGCCGATGTTGACGTACAAGGAGCTCCAAGTGGGAAGCGGGAAGTCCCCGACGATGGATTGCCAGTGCATCCCTATTATGGATGTTGACTGTATCCCCCCACCCTCCGTCCATCCCAAGCATGCCGCGAGGCCAGCCCTTTTGGATATCCCCCCTGCGCCAGGCAGGACCCTGTCGCGAGGCGAGCGATGGCCAGCTTTGGGCGTGGCGCGCAAGCCTGCCCAAGCAGACGCGGCGGGGCGGGGGGGGGGTAAGCAGCAAGAGAATAAGACATCGCGGGACGATATACCGCCCAGCTTTTTCTGTATCGAACGCGGGCGCTGCCAGAGTGACTTTGAGCGCGTCGTTGGCCACTCGACTCAACTCTCGAGGAAACGCGTCGGGGGGGGGTCCGGGGGCAGGGGGGGGCTCGCGTCGGGGGGGCGGGGCAGGGGAGGAGGGGGGGGCAGGGAGCAGGGGGCCCCCCTCTGCGTCCCAGCGCGAGGCGTGTCGGGTCCGAGGGTCGAAGCGCTCGAAGTGAAGCTCGAGGGTCGAGGTCTGGGGGGCGTTTGGGGCCTCGGAGGCACTTCTCGTCGCCACAGCTGGATCTGCGGTCGAAATTTCTGACGCTTCGCACATCCCTATCAGCCTATCCAGGAACGGTGCCAAGGATAGCTGCCCTGATCGGGGGAGCGTGGCATAATCTGGATAATTCGGGGACCCTCAGTGAACTAGAGGCCTCTTGGATGCCTCCCAGAGTCGCTTGGGATGTCTTCGAGGGGGCTCTTGGTGGCCCCTTGGAGCGTCTTGGGGGCACCTGGGGAGCTCTTGGTGGCCTTTCGGGGCATCTTGGGGGCCTCTTGGGGGCATCTTAGGGTCATTTTTGGGACTCCTTGAGCCTCGTGGAGCCATCTTCAGCCATCCCAGGTTTGACCGCGAAATCTGCGACATCCGCGGAGCCAGGCCCTGCTCAAGTTCAGACAGCCAAGCCGGGCGGTAAAAGCACGTCGGTGCTGTATCGTGTTCTGTTCAGTGTCAGGCTGGCGTGTCGCCCTTGACGGGAGACTTGCCCACACGGAGCGCCGACGAGGCGCACGCAGACGGTAAATGGAAGCATTGCCCCAGTACGTGCGCTCCTTTTCCCCCCTCCGTCTCCTCCTCCTCCTCCTCCTCCTCCTCCTCCTCCTCCTCCTCCTCCTCCTCCTCCTCCTCCTCCCTCCTCCTCCTCCTCCTCCTCCTCCTCCTCCTCCTCCTCCTCCTCCTCCCTCCTCATCCTCCTCCCTCCTCCTCCTTTTCCTCCTCCTCCTCCCCCTCCTCCTCATCATCATCCTCCTCGATTCCTTTTATTAGAAATAACTTCTCCCTTTCGCACCCCGAGACCATGTTTTAGGGCGGTCCGGGCGTTTTGCCTGAGACTTCCTCACCACTTATGACCCTGAAGCTGAAGAAATACAGGTTCACAGATGGAGGGCGGTTCCTTTTCAACATGTGGCTCTCGGTTTAGCGCCGCGCACATTCTTTTTAAAAATCCGCAGGGTTGGCTCTTTTTTCTAAATGTGGTTCTCGCTTTAGCGCCGCGCAGAATCGTTGTTTATAGCAAGAGTTTCACGGATCCCCATGATCAGCGTAGCAGAAATGGTGTTTTGAATGGACTCAGGACTATGAGGGTGCAACAGTTACGTTGATTCGCGGTGTTGATGTCCCAGGAATGGCGTTCTGGCGCGATTCAGGATTGTCGAGACGTAACAGTCAGGTTGATCCGTGGCGTTGGAATCCCGAGAACGATGTTTTGGCATGCATCAGGGTCTTCAAACGGTTGCCTTCCAACGAGGCAGTTGCCTCAGTAGAAATGAATTATTGTAGGGGCCTATGAAGAGGGAGCTTGGAGGGAGGGTTTATTCCAACATCGTTGATGACCCTCGGGTTTACACTGGTCCTCCTCCTCCTCCTCCTCCTCCTCCTCCTCCTCCTCCTCATCATCATCATCATCATCATCATCATCATCATCCTTCTCCTCCTCCTCCTCCTCCTCCTCCTCCTCCTCCTCATCCTCCCCCTCCTCCTTCCTCCTCCTCCTTCCTCCTCCTCCTTCCTCCTCCTCCTTCTCCTCCTCCTCCTCCTGCGCAGCCCCGAGCCCTTCCACCATGGCTCAAGGGAGGAGGGAGCAGGAGGCACGCCGCGCGTTGGGCCGACGCGGCCGCTGGGCGGGGCCGAGCGACAATCGCGCTCGCCGAGGGCTCGCCGGGCGGCGTGCGCAGGCGCGGCGAGCCCCAAAGGGCCGCTGCTGTGCCGCAGCGCGCACCACCCAGCGCAGCTCGAAGCTCGAAGGCGCACTGCGCGCGGAGGTCGGTCAGCCCGTGGACGTCTGCGGCTCCACACCGGTCGCCGCGTCGCTGTGCGACTCGGCGCCGTGCGCCTCTCGCACCGCGCCGCGCTCGGGGGCTCCGCGGTCCAGGTGGTGCAGGGGCGAGGCCAGCAGCTTCCAGCCGCCGGGCGCGGGGGCGCTCGGCCAGGTGGGCCCCACGGTTGGCAGGATCTCGCGCGCGTCCGCGCCCGGAGTCGCGCGTGCGGTAACAAGAGGTGTGCGGCGCCCCGACCCTCCGCAGCGTCTCCCGAGCAGCTGCCATCGCCCGCGGCGGGCGAAGTGAGCGGCGCCCATAAGCGGGGTCGCTTGCGCTGGCACTCGCTCGCAAGCTGCTCGCGGAAGGGCGCGCGAAAGCGCCCTCGTCTCCAGTGTGTGCCACGGTGACGGCCCGCGTGAGCCGCCGCGTAGGGTCGCCGTGTCATCTCGCGTAAGGCCCCTTTTGATTGTCGCTCACTGAGTTCTTTCAATCATCTTCCTCTCCTTGCTTGCCACTTGCCGCTCTCGAGTGCTGCCGCTACAAAGCATCGCAGCTGTTCTTGCCCGTATTTCGTTTGGAGTGGTGGTGATAGCCCCCTTGAGGGGAAGCGGACTCAGTTCGATATCGGTGCTGGGGCAGAAAAAAATGTTTGTCGCTCACTGGCAGTGGGTGAAGTTGCTCAGATGGGGAGGCGCTCGCCTCGCATGCGGTCATGAGTGGCCCAGGCACGTGTACCGGGCAAGTCGCTTTGCGTTCGCGGCTTCAGGTGCAAGGGGGATTGCGCCAGCGCGGACGTCTCTGGGGGGTGGAGGTCGGGGTTCGGCTTCTCGGCCGGAGGCCCGGTTGCACTGCGCGCGATGGCCTCATTGAGCCAGACCGTGCAGAAGGCATCGCACGGGAGTGTGTCACGGAATACCTCCGTAGGCTGTGGGTGAGGGCTTCGGGAGTAACGGTTTGGACGTGCAGGTGCGGAGGGCTCATGTCGAGAATCGGCGTGCCGGCCCATCCGTTATCACATGGTTCCCCGAGGTCCTCGCAGGACATAATTGGTTTGCATTGCGAGCGAGGTTTGACAGCACGATGCATGCAGTCGACGATTGAACGAGCCGGAAGCTTGCAAGCAGCAGACATCGACGATGCACATTGCATGACTGCTTGCTCGAGTCGCCCTCTGGCTCTGCCAGGTTCTCCTTCCCGCGGGCTCCCTCCCGCCCGAGAGGCGGAGACGGCCCTGCAGAGACGCGCCGGAGCAAAATCGGGTGCCCTGCACGGCTGGACGGCAGATTGGAAGACCGCGAACTGAGCATCGACCTCGCCGTGCTTACTCCCATCTCCCCCCACAGGAAGGATGTCGGAACCGCTGGGACCTTCCGAGGACCAGAGATGATGAGCCTGTTTTCCACCACCACCACCACCACAAGTTCGATGGGGGGAAAGAGGAGGAGGAGGAGGAAGAGGAGGAAGAGGAGGAGGAGGAGGAGGAGGAGGAGAGCTGCCCTGGCAGTGCCCTGCACCGGGTCCCGCGAGAGGCCCCCCAGGCCAGGCCCTTCCCCCCCCCTGTCCGGCCTGCAGGCTCGGCGCGTGCCCCGCGGTCCAGCCGCAGCGCGGCGCCGCCCTTGGCGGCAGCGGCTCGGGGCCACACTCGGGAGACTCTTCACGGGGGGGGATCCCATGGGGGGGATAGGATCCCAGGGGGGAGGATCCCATAGGATCCCCTGGGGATCCCATGGGGGGGCAGGAGGGGATCCCATGGGGGTGATCCCTTCCTGCCCCCCCATGGGATCCCCCCCCATGGAGAGTCTCCCGACACACGGGGCGCATGGTGCGCGACGAGTTCTCGAATTCAGAAGGCCTTTCACAAACAAAAATGGAAACAAAAAAACACTTCCTGAATCAAAAAACAGGTTTGGCTTCAAAGCCAATCTTTTTGAACTCAAAAACCAGATGCCGCGTTCCACATGGTGCGTGACGCAGCGTGGCTAAGACAGGCCTGGGTCATTGTTCCTTCTGTGCGCGGCAGTTCCAGGAGTGTCTGCCCGGACAGGGAAGACGGAGGCGGATGAGCAAGACCGAGCGGTTCCGACATCCTTCCTGTGGGGGGAGATGGGAGTAAGCACGGCGAGGTCGATGCTCAGTTCGCGGTCTTCCAATCTGCCGTCCAGGGTCCCAGTGACGAGATCGGGGGGCGGAGTTCCAAAGTTCAAGCTCGACCATCACCTCAATGACCCAACCTGCCACCCCGAGCGTCACGAGTCGGACGGGACTACACGATGGGTATTATGAGTCTTTCGACTTTACCGCCGAACTTCCCGAGAGGCTCCATCACAACCCAAGATGCATCGCCTGCGCCAGCACGTCCTTGCCAATGCGCTGGGACTCTGCCTGTTCCTGCGCCAAGCCAGCCTCAATGGAGTGCCACCCGAACTTGGGGAGATGACGCATTTGGGCTGTAGCTCCGCTTGCCCATCGTGCGTCTGTCAGGCAAGAGTCGGAGTCGCCTCCGACAGCAGTTTGCGAAGAAGTAATGACGCATGCGCGCAGGCACGGCATGCTGAGTTGCCGCCCCCCCCGGTTGGACGCCCCTTTCTTGGAAGCCCCCGGACGTGTCATCGCCGATCGCGCCTTCTCCTTTTCTCCCTCCCCCCCTTCCCCATGGAACGTGCACTGGAGAAGAGCAGCTTGTCTGGCCGCCCCGTGGCAGGCGTACAAAGACGCGGAGAGGGCCCTCAAGCGCCAGCTGCGGGACGCCGAGGGCGGCCGGGCCGGCGGCTTCAACGACCGCCAGGTGGTGGAGAAGAGGCCGGAGGCGCAGTCCTTCTCTCAGGGCCAACGCCAGGGGCAGCTGGGCTCAGGCTGGGACGCATCGGCCCCCAATCGCCCATGGATCGCCCACGGGGGCCCCGACAGCCCACTCCGCCCAGGAGCGCGCGGATCTGCGATCGGGGGCCCATCGCCGCTCCATCGGCGACGTATCGCCGATCCCAGCTCGGTGGCTTCCCCCACGAGCTGGTCCTCCCCAAACGCTCCCCCCCACCACCGCTGGCCTCCACTTCGACCATCTCGAGGCAGCGACGCGCGGGGCGTCGAGTCGTGGACGCCTTGGCAAATCTGGTGGTGATGGCCTGATCGGGCCCATGGTAATACAGCTGGCGCGAGTGTTGAGGAGGAGGAGGAGGAGGAGGAGGAGGAGGAGGAGGAGTGGGAGGAGGGGAAGGCGGAGGAGGAGGAGGAGGAAAGGGCTCCCTTGTGCTGTTCGCGTCTGGGCCCTCCACCCCGACGCGTGTTTCTTACTTGGGTTTTGCAGGATGGCCTCGGGCCTTTGGCGAAGAGGGGGGCCCCTGTTCCCGACCCTGCGCTCGCGTGGCCGCGCGCTTCGACGACCTGGCGCTCCAAGAGGAAAGGCTTCGCCGTCGAGGGATCGATGGATCGGTTCCTCTTGCTGCTGCCATCTAGGGTTAAATCGGGCCTGTCCCTCTACAGGAGGAGTGTCATAAACAACGACACAAATCTAGGGGAACGAACAGTGACACGAACATAATAATTCGGAGGTCCGCGCGGACCCCCGAGGTTTTCTGTTTGTGACATTCTTCGTTCCCCTACTCGTTGCTGTGATCGCCGTGCGTCTTCGGCGGCAAGTGGCGGAGGGCCAGCGGAAGCCGGATTGTTTTGGATTCGGGGTTGCCAGAGCCAGTCGATCGAGCTGGAAGCGTTCGGCGGCTCGCAAAGAACCGCCCAAACTGTCCAGACGCCACGCGGTTGCCAATTGACGTATAGCTCAGACACCAGCGGCCTTGCAGCCGTGCTGCGAAGACAGCGGGACAGCGGCGCTCTTGGCACGAGTGAGGCCTGCCTCCTTCGGCCTGCCCAGCCGGCCAGAGCGGGCCCTGCGGCTCTAGGCCTCCTAGATGGGGTCGGGGCAGATGGGGTCGGAGGATCGCGCCGCATCGCCGATGCATCGGCGATGTTGCTCGATGCGGAGCCCGATTTTCTCCACGCCGACGTCGCCGATGAGTCGCCGACGTCGGCGACGCATCGCCGATGCATCGGCGATTCGCCGCGATCCTCCGACCCCACCTTCTCCGACCCCATCTAGGAGGCATCTGGTGGCGGCACGGCCGCTGTGCGCGGAGTCCCTGTTCTTTTGCCCCGCTCGCCGCAGTAGGCTTGGCTCTCCCAGCGGTGCTTCTTCCCCCCTCCCCCGTCCCTCCGAGTCGCTGCACAGCAGCTTCCCCCCACCTGGGTGGGACCCACTCCGATCCGATCCTGCGGATCTCCCCAGGCTTCACAGACAGTGGAAGGTCTCTTCGTTCGATGCTCGCCTGGCCCTCGACCCGCTGCCACAAGCGCAACTGGCGATGGGCAGGGCGAAATCGCAGCACCATCCCACCAGTGGTGGACCAGACCGGCCGCGGCGTGGAAGCCCGATGTCCGCGACGCCAGGCCAGCGATGCGCAGGCACGGAGGGCAGCGGAAGAGGTGGCGCGACGGCATCCCACAGCTTGTACGACCTCCCTTTGGGGACTATACCATGACGCGGCTGGATGCGGCTGGAGACCGGACGTTGTGGAACAACTTGGAGACGGATCATCTCGCACACGTTTTGCGCCGGCGGCTAGGCAGAGTGACTGCGCCGGCGCATGGAGCAAATGTGGGGCATACCGTCGCTAATTGGGCCGCGATGCGCGTGAGGAGGAGGGGGGACGGCCCGGCGCGGGCGGACGGGAGACGGAAGCCGGGCCCGCTCGGAGCGGGGCCGGTGATCACCCCGCACACACGCGGGCTCTGACCAGGCACCGGGCCGCCCGCGCCGCTCCCGAGGGGGGCCGCCCGTCGGCGGGCACGCGCGTCGCGCCGCTCGCCCCGTCCGCCAGCTGCGCGCCCTCGTGGGGAGGGCGGGCGGCCCTCGCCACGCGACCTCCTCGGAGCCCGTGGCTGCTCCGGGAGGAGCTGCACCGCGCGGCGAGAGCAGGGCGTGCTCACAGCAAACCGTCCAGAGACTTCGGATGGTGAACCCTTCCCTGTCTGCAGAGCGCGAGTCTGCAGGGTTCTTCGACTCAGGACCCCGCCAGTGGCGGTTCGGCGCACGGCGCAACGTCTCGGTCATGACGCCTCCGCTTTGGACTCCATCTGCTCATCTGCGAACAGGAGCGCACAACCATCCTGAGGAAAAATTTGACGGATCGATTCAGCACCCCCCCACCCTCCTTTATCCAAAGGTGGCTCGTGACGGGGTCGCTGCCGCGCCAGGAGTTACAATGCAATGTTGGACGGGGAGGGAGGGGGACGCCGTTGCGAAAAGATGACCCCACGACCAGGCAGTCCCATGAAGATTCTATAGGATTACGCCACATCCGCCGACCCCTTGTATTTCTTCTGGGGGGGCAGGATCTCTTGAAAGCCGTTTTGAAATCGCTTTGGGTTCGTTTTGGGGGCCTGTCGGCGCGTTTTCGGGGCCTCCTGTGTGCATCTTGGGGCAACATTATTGCGCTCCTGGTTTGTGGTGTCGGGCTCGCTCCGATCCAATGGGGGGGGGGCGAGTTTTCCAGGCAGTCCCGTGAAGACTCCGATGCGACACCGAGGCGTTCAAGTCCTCCTCGGGACTGAAGTGGATGTAGAGTAGAGGGATCGCGCCCCGCGGCCGCTGCGTCGGGGACGCGGCCCCGATCTGGAGCCTGGCTCTCCCCATCCTGACGTTCGCCGATGCATCTTCGGTGCATCGGCGGTGCTGCGCGACTCCTCCTCCTCCTCCTCCTCCTCCTCCTCCTCCTCCTCCTCCTCCTCCTCCTCCTCCTCCCTCCCCCTCCTCCTCCTCCTTCCTCCTCCTCCTCCTCCTCCTCTTTCTCCTCCTCCTCCTCCTCTTCCTCCTCTTCCTCCTCCCTTGATTACCCCCTCCTCCTCCTCGTCTTCCTCCTCCTCTTCCTCTTCCTTCTCCTCCTCCTTCCTCCGACCACTCTACCGTGGCCCACCTCTAGGCGGCGTCCACGTCCACTCCAAGGGCTCGAGCCTGACCGATCCGCGCCGCACTCTGCGTCGTCCGTCGTCGACGTGGTCGGGTCCGTCGTTTTCTGCGTCGTCCACGCCGTGCGATTCTTGGCTCAGCCCGCGCGGAGGGCGAGGACGAGAAAGGAGACTTCGACGACTTCGGACGGCGGAGACGTAGTTCTGCCAGCGGCCCAGCGGACCGCGGTCGGGAAGCGGCAGTTGCAGAATCATCAACGGGGGGTGCCAGAGGTGATCCTAGCCCAAGGCGTCCCGCGCTTTTCGCACCACTTTTGAGCCCAATCGGGCCCTCTGGGCCTCGTGAGGTTTGCTCTGGGCGCCTGAGGGGCATCTTGCGAACTCCTTGGGACAACGTTTTAGCTAGGGACACACTTCATAACACCAAAGCCCAGGAGGACTGAAAGGCAATTCGCAGTCCACAGCCGAGACACCTTGGGCCATTTTAGATGTATCAGAGGCGCGTGTGTGAGTGAGTGTGTGTGTGTGTGCACGCGCGCGCATTTTACATGCTGGCAGCGAGACGGGCCGAGAGCAAGTGGGAAACTTGTTTCCCCAAACAGTGGTTGCACTTATGGGGCTTTTTGTGCGGTCACTGAGAGATTGGCTGGGCCTGGCGAGGTGTCGCCACGTTGCCGCCCGTTGCCGCCTCGTTGCCGTCTCATGCGCTGGGTGCGCCCAGCAGGGCTTCGCCGCGGTGCCGCCCGTTGCCACGTCGGTGCCTCCTCGTGCGCTGGGTGGGTCTGGCGAGGCTTCGCCGCGTTGCCGCCTCGTTGCCGCCTCGTTGCCGCCTCGGGCGCTGGGTGGGTCTGACGAGGTGTCTTTCGCCGCGTTGCCGCCCGTTGCCGCCTCGTTGCCGTCCCGTGCGCTGGGTGGGTCCGGCGAGGTTTCGCCATGATGCCGCCTGTTTGCCGCCTGGTTGGCGCCTCGTGCGCCGGGTGGGTCTGAGGAGGCTTCGCCGCATTGCCGCCCGTTGCCGCCTCGGGCGCTGGGTGGGTCCAGCGAGATGTCGCCACGTTGCCGCCCGTTGCCGCGTCGTTACCGCCTCGTGCGCTGGGTGGGTCTGGGGGGGAGGTTTCGTCACGTTGCCGCCCATCGCCGCGTCGCTGACGCTTAGGCTTGCACCATGTATCGAATAGCCAACGGTCCACCCCGCCACCGTGCCTTGGTTGTGGGCCAGAGTCCTCCGGGATATTTTTCGGTGTCTCTTCGGAGCTCGCGCGGGAGCCTCTTGGGGGCAGTTTGGGGGCTTCTTGGGGGCCTCTTGGGGGCCTCGTGGGAGCTTCTTGGATGCATTTTTTGTAAGTTTCCTGCGGGTCTCTTGGGGGTCTCTTGGGGCCTCTTAGCGGCCTCGTGGGGGTCTCTTGGGGCCTCCTGGGAGCCTTCGGGGCCGAGGGCTCGAGATGTCCATTCGGGTCCCCCGTCGGGGCCCCCTTCTCGGAGCCGGCTTGGGGGCCTCTCGGGCCGTGTTGGGCGCCTGTTGGGCCGTTTTGGGGCCCTCTTGGAGGCATCATGGGCGGTCTTGGGACGATCTTGGGAGCCTCTTGGGCCGTCCTGGAGCGTCAGGGAGCCGAAAAGGCGAGGACGCCAACAGATTTCAGAACCAAAAGAAAATCCATGATTTGCGCCTTTGGGGGTCCTCTTGGGAGGTCTCTTGGAGGCCTCTTCGGGCGTCTTGGGGGCATCTTGGGCCGTCTTGCGACCATCTTGGGCGCCTTGGAGTGGTCTTTCGGCGACTCTTGGGGCCTCTTGGGGCGCTCTTGGCCCGTCTTGGGGCCTTCTTGGGCCCGAAAAATCATACGACAAGAGGCCCCTGGCCCCAGGGGCCTCGCGACGCGCGTCAGAAGAGTTGGCAATTTCAGGCCCGGGTCCCTGAAAGAATCCTTAGGATTGGGGGCTGAGGCTTCAGGGACTAGGCCAAGGACCTGAGGACACTCCAACTCGTGCCTTAAGGGCACGGTAGCGGATAATCTTCCGTCGGAAGAAAGATGAATTCCACCAACTTCCCGAGCCTGGACCCCAAGCAGTGATCTCTTGCGCTCTATGTTGTGCAACCAATGTTGTGCAGTCTTGGTGATGCAATACATATGATGCTGTCTATAAGGTCCACGCGACGCAAGC